AGCTGTGGGGTGGGGGTGGGGGGTCGGGGGTGGTGGTGGGATGAATTGGGAGATTGGGGTTGACATGTATACACTAATATGTATAAAATAGATAACTAATAAGAATCTGCTGTATAAAAAAATTAATTTAATTAAATTGAAAAGAAAAGGAGTCCACAGTTTTATTCCCAGTCTTGCTATTAATTTGCTTTGCCACCTTGGACAAGGCATTTCCCTGCCCAGGTCTCAGTTTCTTCATCTGTAAAACAAGGGGTTTAGATGAGAGAAATAGCTAAGGACTCTACCAGTTAGACATCCACTGACTATGGGACCTACAGTCTCTTATTTGCATGAAACAAATCACCTCTGCTCTCTTTTTTCTTGAATTAAAAAACCTAACTTTAGGGCTTCCCTGGTGGCGCAGTGGTTGAGAGTCCACCTGCCGATGCAGGGGACACGGGTTCGTGCCCCAGTCCAGGAGGATCCCACATGCCGCGGAGCCGCTGGCCCCGTGGGCCTTGGCCACTGAGCCTTTGCGTCCGGAGCCTGTGCTGCACAGCGGGAGAGGCCGCAACAGTGAGAGGCCCGTGTACCGCAAAAAAAAAAAAAAAAAAACACCTTACTTTACCCTGAACTTTGTCTTGGAAAAAAAAAGGGGCTATGGGAAGAGGGCCAGGGACGGTGACACACAGAATTCTGATCACGTTTACTACTTAGTGCACCCTTTCTCTACAGAGACAAGGCCAGTATGCCCCACCCCCAGGAGCCAGCAACATTTGGGGACTCGAGGCATCTGGACATGTGGCAGAGCAGGGGCCTGGTTGCCAGGGACACTGAAAGATTGGGGACCCAGCCATAGTTCTGCTGCCTAGCGGGGGCCAGTATGTCACTGTCCCCGAAGGGCTCCTCATGCCCATCCCGGCAGGACTGACCATGCCCCAGGCTGCCGCCATCCCAGAGGCCTGGCTCACCGCCTCCCAGCTGTTACATCTCTTGGGTAAGGACCACCTCACCCTACCTCATGCTTACTCCATACAGCATGGTTCAATTGCTTCATGACTCAGCCACCTCAGAACCCGGCAGTCCTGCAGGGCAGCTTTGATCTGGCCACTGAGCCACACCCAACCCCAGCACCTCAGCCTACTGTACCATCAGTAGTATCAGGTCCTCATACTGGGCAGCAATATTGAGGCTGAAAATTATGGTTAGCACATAGAAAATCTGGAAAGCGCTGGATGAAAGGCCTGTGCACATCTTCACACAGTAAGCCCAGCAGTAGTCCCAGCTTCTCAGTCAGGCTAAGCTTCTCTCTGGGAGCCCTAGCACAGCAGAAGAAGCCATTCAATCAACTCTTTAATTCCTCCCCAATCCCACTGAGGCCAGCAAAGAGCTTACATGAGGGTCCCTGGCTTTGGGGAGACCAGTGTAACTGGCAAGACAACCACAGTGTTTGGAAGGGTGGCCCTGGCTCTAACTACAACAGAAGCTCAAGATGGGAAAAGTTGGTGTGGGCAAAGGGGGTCCGAGAAGGCTTTCTGAAACAGAAGGCCTTGAAGGGTGGTAGAGCTGTGATGGACAGATGGCATACCAAGGTGGCCTAAGAGGGTCAAGGTGAGATCAGCTGCTTCACTCAGAAGTGAAGGATGACAACTGTAACTTATGAAAGATGAGACTGCAACTAGATTGTGGTGGCCTTGAACGGTAGGCTATTTGGACTTGACACGAAAACCAATCAAGAACCACTTGACATTTTGAGGAGAAAGTGACATAATGAAAGCTCCATTTCAGGAGGAGCCTGGTGGCTGTGTGTGGGGCCTGGATTTGTGAGACCAGCTGGAGGCCAGTTTCAGACTGAAGAGGGGCTGCCTTCAGGTAGTGACAGCAGGAATGGTGGTTATTCTTACTCATTCAGGTATAGGTCAGAGATATGTTTTCGTATTATTTCACAGGTAGAACAGAGATTATGGATGTGGCTGCTAGTAACTGTTTCCAAAAGTTGTTTCCCACTTTGACCAGAGGCAGTAAGACAAAAAGTCAATATGTGCTCTCAAAACAGCCAGAGATTTGACATTTGGTGGTCTCAGGGCCAGGTGATCATGGTAGAATAAGCCTATGTGGAGAATGTGTAGCAGTTGCAAAGCAAAGAAAATGGTTCCTGTACTTTCTGTCGCAGGAAATGTTCAGGCTGGAGACTCTGTGCTAATCCATGCAGGAGCAAGTGGTGTGGGCACAGCTGCCATCCAACTTACCCAGATGGCTGGAGCTGTTCCTCTGGTCACAGCTGGCTCCCAGCACAGGCTTCAAATGGCAGAAACGCTTGGAGCAGCTGCTGGATTCAATTACAAAGAAGAGGATTTTTCTGAAGCAACACTGAAATTCAGCAAAGGTAAATAAAGCTTCTGCAATTCAGCAGGAGTTTCAGAGATGATTAAATAAAATCCTCACCAGCCTCAGAGTTGCCTCTGGATCTGTCTCCCCTCTGCTAAAAGCACAACAACTGCCCAGGCCAAATTCTAGTACTCTGGTGTTTGACCACTGGAGACAGGCAGGCAGTATTTAGGACTAAGATGATTTTCCTGTGCATTCTTGTAAGTGATATGATTCATATGCTTTTTAGAAAGTGGATAATCACACAGAGTTGGCCTGGAATTATTCAGGACCTCTTTTTCCCAACCAGCCACTCTGCAGTGAACTAACAGGAGGCATGGAGCAGAAACCAGTTTGGAGCTGGTCAGAGTAGGCTTGGGTAGGTAGCTCCCTAAATGGGTGAGTAGATGTGTATGCCTCTATATTCTGAAACTGAACCTGCATATATTTGGCTCATCCCCTTCCATTGTTCCACATGAGTCAAAAAGGAGAGATGAAAACAAAGCTAGCAAGGCCATGATTCAGGCAACCCAGCTCAGACACTTGATAACTTAGATATGGACTAGCCTGTCCTGTAGCCTGGGGTGGATCTCCCCTATTCCCCTGGGTGCCAGTGGGTTCTCTACTTACGTGGAGGTCAGGGGAAATACCAGATCATGGTGCTGCCCCATTTCCCTCCTGCTGTGGCAGGGATCATAAAATATGATCATGTATAATATCACACATGTATAATAGAGTTCAGCCAACTAAACTCCATTTACAACCATGTTTCTATAAGCAATGTTCTGAGTTCCAACCTATAGATTTACTGCTTGCACTTGTATTTATTTATACCCATATTTCCACAAATATACCATGTAATCTTATTTCACACCAAGCTTTCTGTGTCTGACTAGCATCATATATCTGTGTTTCATGTGAAAGGCGCTGGGGTCAACCTTATTCTAGACTGCATAGGCAGCTCCTACTGGGAGAAAAATGTCAACTGCCTAGCTCTTGATGGTCGCTGGGTTCTCTATGGTCTGACGGGAGGTGCTGACATCAGTGGGCCTCTGGTTTCAAAGATACTCTTTAAAGGAGGAAGTCTGATCACCAGTCTGCTAAGATCTAGGGACAAAAAGGTGAGTGATGGGTGAAAAGAAAATGTGATTTAACTATTATCCATAAAAGTGTGATTCATTCACATAATCCTGAGAAAGTAAGATCATATATTAAGTTAGAGAGCCTATGTATTAATAGAAACCTGCCCCTCTGTGTATAAATAGGTAACCTAATTTCACAGAACTAATTAAAATCGGTTGATAAAGGCCTCAACATCTTGGAAGGAGGGTAATGTATTATGTAAACTTTATAACAATGAACAAAGCATTGACCATATTAGGAAATACTACTAATAGTTCCAAGACTTTGTTTTCAAAGGCAGAACTGTTCTCAGTGTGCTAAGAAAGCCTCTTAGGTAAGTAAGGTTAGTAAGCTTCTACCTTTAACAGATTATACATTCATGAAATCTTTTCTGTGTGGCATTCCAGCAGGTGCCAGCTTTGGGAGTTTTGTAACAAGGTTTCACAACTGCTGGGGGGATAGCAGAGGTTAAGCATCCCTTTTGAATTGAACCTATATTAAGTCCTGTCTGTGGCTGCCTCCTGCTTGAAGTCTTTATTTAAAAACAGCCCTTCAGCTTTCAGTGACACTAATATTTTCTCCAAGCTTCGGTCTTTATCTGGGACAGAATAGAGCTTACAAATCTAGGGACATGCACATACATGCTGGTAGTGAAGGGATTACATACCCTTGTGTGACTTTTCAGATGTGTACAAGTTTCAGAGAAAGCAGAAAGACTAAGCAGGGTGGGGAGTGGCAAGGTAAGGCCTCTGTCCAGGCTGATGGTCTCCTTTTCCTTATCTTAGTACAAACAGATGCTGGTGAAGGCTTTCACAGATCAAATTTTGCCCCACTTCTCCACGGGGAACCCTCAAAGTTTACTGCCGGTTCTGGACAGAGTCTACCCCATAACTGAAATCCAAGAAGCCCATGCGTACATGGAGACTAACAAGAATGTGGGCAAAATCGTCCTGGAGCTGCCCCTGTGAAGGAGGAGGGGCAGTACAGGACAAGGCTACCTCAGGTCTTCCAAGAGCAAACTTGGAGAAAATTCACAGTACTCAGGCGACCGGGTGCTACACCAGGCTCGCCTGTAATCCCCTGTTCCTCTCCGAGCCTCAAACGATCAGTGCAAAGCCGGTCTAAGGAAATAAAGAGTGGACTTGAAGAGTGGCGCGTGGACTGTGGCCGTCAGGGTGGGGGTGAGGTGGGAGTCGGTACTGGCATCGCCGAGGAGATTACAGAAGAGGCCCGGTCAGCTGATGCTGAACTTTGGGGGCTGAGCCAGCGCCAGGGGTTCTGGGTACGGAGTAGAGCGTCGGCCACGACCCAATCAGCCAGAACCCTGCAGGCTCGTCTTAGTGCACTGTCAGGGGCCCAGGCACACCCACGCATCCCCCGCACAGCAGCGCGCGCCCCGCAGGCCCTGACCCCACTGTAGTCCCCGCCCTCCCCGGCAACTCACCCAGGCGCAGACCCAGCTCTCACAGCTCTCCTCAGGCTCCACCCCCTTCTGCCAGCTTCCGCTGCTCTGGGCCTCCGCGACCGGAACACCGCCCCTTCTTAAGCCCAGGTCCCGCCTTTCAACCTTCCGGCCTCTTAAGTCTCTCAGCCCTGTTTTGCCCCGGAGTCTTTTCCTGAGGGGAGACTACGTCAGCACGTTTCGGCGTGAGACGGTGGTATTCCGGTGTGTTAGAACAGCTTCCGGCGGGGTCTGGACGTTGATGTCTTGCGTCTGACGCCTTGTTGCACTCGAAGCTGAGCGAGCTTCGGAGGAGTGTGGAGGAATTCACGTATTTGCTGCGGTAACCTCATCAGTCTGCCAAGATGGCGATGCAAGCGGCCAAGAGAGCGAACGTGAGTGTCTGGGACTTCTGTCGAGGAGGGGGAGCACTTCGCTGCTGGGCTTTCTCATTGGCGTAATCAGAGCATTCTTGGCCTTCCTCCGTCCCCTAGGCAGGGAAGCCCAGAAGTTACTGACCTGTCAGGGGGGATTCCATCCTGGACCGGTCCTTAGGGATGTGCTCTTTGAGCCACACTTTCGCCCCTACCCCTTTTGAGAGTTCCTTTAAGTCTGTTATCCTAGTGTCAGTGATAGTGTTAACAGCCTGTGTTGCTTCACCTGCACCGAGGACCCGGCGTCAGGATCTTCTCCTCGGCCTAAAAGTCGGTAGCACAGATGAGTCCGCAATAAATAACTTATGCTTAACAGGCAGCTGGAACCTGGAAGTCTCCTCAGATCATGGAGCTTTTTGGATCCTTCATTAATGGTTTCAGTGATAATTTTGAGCACCTAGTATGTACCAGACTTGAGAGATAGGATACAATAAATCAGTCATATTTATTGAACACTTACTATGTGCCAGACACTAGTCTAGGTATCGGAGATACCTAGAATAAAACAGAAAGGCCTGCTGCTTACATTGTAATATTAGGGAGTCGGGGTGTTATGGAAACCTAAGAAAAATTATCTTAGGAGAAAGAGTAGTCAGATCTTAAGATGCTGAGAGGTACAGTAAGGTGAAGACAGTTAAATATAGTGAGATGAAGATTTTTGGTAACTTTGATGATAATCATTTCAGTGGATGAAATGTGGGATGTGGTGGGATGAAGAGAAGGTAGAAGTTGAGAAAATGGAGACAGCTCTTTCCACAAATTTTCTCGTAAATAGGGAGAAAAGAAATTGGATGATAGTTAACTTTTCTTAGGATGTGTGATACAAGGTGTATTTGTATGCCAATGGGAATGATCCAGTAGAGCCGGAGAAACTGATGATGTAGGAGAAAGGTGGGTTAAGTTCAGGAGTAGTTTGGGGTAGGGGAGGGGTTGGCATAGCAATGAGAGGGAAAGTGGCTGGATATGCATGAATGCATATTGAATATAAGGTACTTACCATTTGGTCGCATCTATTTTCTCCAATAAACAAGAGCCAAGGTTATCACCTGGGATGAGCAGGGAAGAGAGGATACAGCTCAACTCGGATGTTAGAGGGAGTGGTGATGGTAAGGTTTGAGAAAAGAAGGGAAAATGTGATATAGTCTCTTGCAGAGTGAGAAAGCAGATTTACTGGAGATGTATATTGTGATTGTCTGACAGTGTTTATCATCTATTTGAACTTAACCTTAAATCTTAAAGTCTAAAACTTTATTGTACTTATTTGTTTACCAGTTGTCACCATTTGAGGGCAGGGAATAAGTATCTTATTCTTCCATTTATACAACACTTAGGTTAATGCCTGAAGTAGTTGCCAGTTTAATAGTTATTGAGCAAATTAATGTCTAGTATGTAATTAAGTATGTTAATAAGAAGCACAGGAGTGAAATCTGGACCAGAGATACATATTTGAGAGTCATCGACTCAGTGTGGAAAACGTGTATGGTTAAGAGAATGTAGAGTTAAGGGGAGTATACAGAGAGTCAAGAAGTCTAAAGGTGAAACTCTGTGGAAGAGCCTATTTTAATGACAAAGAAGACTGAGAACAACTAGCCAGAGAGTTAGGAGGAATCCAAGGAAAGTGTGTCAAGAAAGGTCAAAAACGTAATAGTCAACAGTGTCAGAAGCCTCAGAGAAATTAAGTTGATGAGAATTGAATACTGTACTCCAAAAAAAAATTTTTTTAATGCAAAAAAAAAAAACACTGCAAGTGAAACGTCTTAGTGCATAAAAGCATTTTTCATCAGCGTGCTGGAGTAGGAGCTAGATTGTGGTAGGCTGATGAGTGTTATGAACTGAAGAAGCAGTGAGTATAACCTGCCTCTTTTCATATGCTTGACTGAGAGAAAAGAAAAAAGAGCAAGATAGGATAGCAAATAGAGGGCTGATAAATTCAGGAAAGGCAGAAAACTTGTCTTTTTTCCTTCACTCTGTAATCCTAATACCTTGCCTTGCCTGGTGTATTAACGAAGGCACTTATTAAATATTTGAGTGAATGAAGAGGGATCCAAATAAGTGTTTTGTTTTGTGTAACAGTTGGGAGTACATAAGCAGCTGCTCACATGAGTAATAAAGGAAGCCAATGGTGAGGGAAAGGCTGTAAATTCAAAAGAAAGAGATCATTGATAGAACAAGTTTCTGAGAAGACCCGAGAATGGTTATCAGTGGGAGTTTTATTATCCAGCAAACAGGAAGAGTTCCCTTGTTCTGTCCCACACATGTCTGTGGCATTGAGGACTTTTAAATGAGGTTGGAGATCTTTGTTTACCTGTAGTGACTGAAAACCTGGGTTTTGTAGTAGCCCCTTATTAGTTCCTACTAATAGTCCTCCCTAAAACCAATGCTTTTCCAAAGAGCGTGCCATTTTCAGTAATATCAGATTATAATTCTTGGCTTATAAAAATTATGCATCATCTTTATTAGAATTTATTATGAGAATTTTTTTTTAAATGATAGCACTCCTGCCTCTGATTATAGTGACAACACATTATTTTTCATTTTAGATTCGACTTCCACCTGAAGTAAATCGAATTTTGTATATAAGAAATTTGCCCTACAAAATCACGGCTGAAGAAATGTATGATATATTTGGGAAATATGGACCTATTCGTCAAATCAGAGTGTGAGTCTTACTGAGACATTTGAAATGTCATTTAAAAGAAAATGATTGTGTAATTTATAATCTCAGAATTATAGCTGACAGAGGGCCTAACCAAGAGCCTAGAGACCAAGGGAAAAGTACCTACAGAGACCCTCATGATCCAGCTCAGTGAAAGCCAAGAATGGTAGTTGTGAAATTATAGAGAGCACGAAGTAGTAATGAGTGGTTTGAGGGGAATGGGTGGGAAGAGAAAGAACCAACATTTATTACATACCTACTGTTTGTTAAGAAGTACTCTACTGTGGTTTTTATATGCATTAACTCTAACTCTCTCAACACTCTTCACCATCTCCTTTACTGATTCCAGAATTTCTGAATAAGCTGTGCAAAGGGATATAAAAGTAACAGAAAAAGGCTTTTTTTTTCAACTATAGCTTTCTATTGAAGATTTAAAAGTATAGGGCAAAATAATTATAACATAAACCCATGTTTTAATTTAAAGATTGGGGTTCATACCTTCAAATGATGTTTAACATCTGCTATATGCCAGTTGTAATAGGTGCTTTTGTTTGCATCACCAACACTACAGCCCTGTGTGGAGGTGAGAGTGTCTCTTTCACAGGTGAGACTAAGGCTTAGAGAGTAAAGTACCTTTCTAGCTTCACACAGCTATTTAGTGATAAAATCTTCTGATTCTAAATTGAATCTCTACACAGTACCACAGCTGCTGTCATTTTAACTAGTATACATAAGCCAATTACCTGAGTCCATCTAAGAGGATTTCTAAGCTTTTTATTTTTAATTGGAATATCCCTTTCTTAATACATTTTCTTTCATGACTTGAGAGTTCCTCCGTGGCTTTTAGAACTCTGAGATCTTGAGGACTCTCCTTTACAATGATCACTATCCCTCCAAAAAGTAAACCAAGAGCTAGAAATATATCATCATTGGTACTCAAACAGGGATGAAAATGAAGTGTTATAGAGCAGCTGTCCTTTTTAGGAACTCTCTTTGCATATTTGATAAAAGCTTTTGACCCTTTCTACAGAATACACACAACGTTTTGCAAGTGATTTCAGTGGGTACATGGACTCTAGGTTGAGAACTCCTGTTCTAGACATACAAGAATAGTGTACAGAAGAATCCCTGACTTGGGGCTCAGGAGACGAGATTCTACTGCAGGCCCTTTTACTAGCCATGTGACCCTAGACAAGTTGCCCAGCTTTTTCGTCACATGTAGGATAATTGGTCACCTTAATTGGCATGTAGTAGACTCTTGGTGCTTTGATTTTGATTATTAAAGCCATGAGTAAGGTAGGACAGGTGATGGAGCCTGATGTCACTATTTGACACATGAAGCAGCTAAAGCTCAGAGAGGTTAAGTTACATGATTAGGTTTTCTTGTTTTCACTTTAAGCTTTTACCACCAATCAAGAAAATAATGTTGACTTAGTGCTTAACGTATAGTAGGTAGCAAGTACATGTTTTTAATTAAAATTACAATATGGAGATCAAGATATTAGGTTGATAATTAGGGGCTGGGGCACTTGAGATGGAGAGTCTTTTTTTTTTTTTACATCTTCATTGCAGTATAAATGCTTTACAATGTTGTGCTAGTTTCTGCTGTACAATAAAAGTGAATCAGCTATATGTATACATATATCCCCATATCCCCTCCCTCTTTTTTTTTTTTTTTTTTTTTTTTGGTGGTACGCAGGCCTCTCCCTGCTGTGGCCTCTCCCGTTGCAGAGCACAGGCTCCGGACGCACAGGCTCAGCAGCCATGGCTCACGGGCCCAGCCGCTCCGTGGTGTGCGGGATTCCCCCCGGACCGGGGCACAAACCCGTGTCCCGCACATTGGCAGGCAGACTCCCTACCACTGCGCCACCAGGGAAGCCCTCCCCTCCCTCTTGAGCCTCCTTTCCACCCTCCCTATTCCATCCCTCTAGGTCATCACAGAGCACCGAGCTGATCTCCCTGTGCTACGCAGCAGCTTCCCACTAGCCATCCATTTTACATTTGGTAGTGTATATATATGTCCATGCTACTCTCTCACTTCGTCCCAGTTCCCCCCCACCCCGCCCAGCCCCGTGCCCTCAAGTCTGTTCTCTACGTCTGCATCTTTATTCCTGCCCTGCCACTAGGTTCATCGGTACCGCTTTTTTAAATTGAGATGGAGAGTCTTTAAAATGGAATTAGCGCCTCTCCCTATTCTACTTCCTAAGAAGTTGTAAGAGGAAAGAAGAGAGATGCTTTTGTTTTGTTTTGATTTGTTCTGTTAGCTTCCTGGAGAAAAGATGTGTGAGAGAACTAATAGGAGAAAGTAGATCTCCACCCTTCAAATGCTTATTAGCACTTGCTGAATGCATAGCACTGTGGGAGTAAAATAAAATATAAGGTCATGTTTGCCCTTAAGGAACTTAAATTGTTGTTGAGTTTTTTATGGTTTTATTCTGAAGGAAAAATTAGGTAGACTTTTTGGGAAAATCTTAGGGACAGTGTTTTTTTTCCTTTGGGTAGTCCCAATTTTCATACCTAAAGCATTTTAGAAAATGGTTAAAAGTCAAAAGTCCAAAAGTTGTTAGATTATTTGCAGAAAGTAAAGAATATTATAAAATTTTTCATCAGGCCCATGTAACCTGACAAAGTGAGAGTGTTTGATGACACTGGCACCCTCCAACCACCCGGCGCCCTATACCTATCCCATCCCCTTTTACAGGAAGCACAAGCTCTGACCAGCGCCCAAGACTGTAGTCTCATCCTAGATCAAATCTAGGCAGGTGCCTCCCCTTCCCATGGGGCCCACTGCCTTTCCTTGAACCTCTGCAGGGACTGTGGCAGTTAATAAACCTTATTCTGCAGTTGCATTGGGTGGATAGAACACAGATGGAGGAAAGGGGATCCATCTTTAGCTTACTGGAGCATAAGCTGAATGGGACCTCTGCCAGCTCTCCCCACTCACAAGCACATGGCCATCTGCCACCTGCAGTTTGTTGCTCCTCACACTTCCCTAGCTCCTCCCCTAACGGAAGCTGGTGAGGTGAGGAGAGGAGGTGGCAAGGAACACCTACACAAGAAGCAGCCCCATATCCATGAGTGAGATCCAGCTTCCGCTTTCCACTTCCAGCCACCTTCCAGCATTCTGCTCTGGCTCACAGGTAACCCCACCAACAAGCACACTTCAAACCCAATCCCTCCAGAGACCCAGCCCTTTTCTCCAGCTACACAGGGCTGTGTAATGCATAAAAGTGCAGATATTATTAAAAATGAATGGGTGAAAAAAAAAAAAAAATGAATGGGTGAAAGTTGGGAGTTGACGCTTGTTTTAAAAGGGCAGTGAATCTTGGGGGAATTTCCTGGTGGTCCAGTGATTAGGACTCCGAGCTTCCACTGCAGGGGACACAGGTTCAATTCCTGGTTGGGGAACTAAGATGCCGCATGCCACGTGGTGCAGCCAAATAAATACATAAGCAAGCAAGCAATGAATCTTCTAAGAAAAGTGTAAGAAACTACATTGGCTCTTTACATTGGAGGACATCCTTTCCTGGCCATAAAGGATGGTGGTTGCTGTTTTCCTATGTATCATTTATAATTTTGCTATCTTCCTGGTAGGGGCTTCCTTCCAACCCCAGCTCCTTCTACAGACACAAAATGGTTTTATTTTTATGGATTTGGTAAACTTTAGTAAAATATTACCCAGAAACTTTTGTCCCCTACATTGATGGAGATTTTTTGTGGGTTTTTTTGTTTGTTGGGGGAGTGGTTTTGGCCGCACTGTGTGGTATGTGTCTTAGTTCCCTGACTAGGGATTGAACCCATGCCCTCTGCAGTGGAAGCTCGGAGTTTTAACCACTGGACCGCCAGGGAGATCCCGAGGTTGTCTTATTTTTAAGGACTGGAACTAAAATTAGAGTGAGGGAGAAAATCAGAATCTTTAGAAACAAGGGACTAGTGTGGTAAATAACTAAAGTATTGGTTCTGTTGCATAAATGCATAGTAAGAAAAACCCCATTCTAGACACTGCTGACTAATCACAACTATCATCCTAAGGTAGCATACTTTCCAGTGTAAAACTGAAAATTGATTCTTAGTATGAGAAGTAGGAAAGACTAGAGCAGTGAACATGAAAACTGAAAGTTTCAAGCTAGTTCTTTGCTGCTATTAGTAGCCATATTAGTATTAGCTTTAGTAGCCATATTAGTATTCTTGATATAACAGTAAGTTTAACCTGAGCTATTTTACTTAAAATAAAAACAAAAATTACATGTTTTGAGAAATTATAGGCTTATCCAGCATACCTGTCCATAGTATCTATTTCCTTTAATGGTTTTCAGGTAAATGTGTATTTTAATTAAGTCCGATTCAACTCGGTAGGGGGAACACACCTGAAACTAGAGGAACAGCTTATGTGGTCTATGAAGACATCTTTGATGCCAAGAATGCGTGTGATCACCTGTCAGGATTCAATGTTTGCAACAGATACCTCGTGGTTTTGTACTATAATGCCAACAGGGTAAGTATGGCCATGGTTCTCATCACGTGGGGACCCCATGTAAGAGTTAGTAGAGAGCTGTACCAGCACTAGGGGAGATGTGTACCCTGAGTTCTTTTCTAGCTACTGCTATTGGTGAAATTCATTTGACTGTAGATTGGTAACTGTTAACTTTGATGCTTACCACATTTTCAGGCATTTCAGAAGATGGACACAAAGAAGAAGGAAGAACAGTTGAAGCTTCTCAAGGAGAAATACGGCATCAACACAGATCCACCAAAGTAAATGTTTTCTGCATTTTCATTTTGGACTGTTTAAAACCCATGAATGACCACCACAACCCTTTTTTTTTTTTTAACTAATAGTGAATGTTGTGATTTCTTATTTGAGATTCAAAAAGACCTCCTTGAAACTTTGATATATTTTAGAATATATTATGTTAATAAACTTGTAGCTTTTTGTAAAACATGTCAGTGTTTTCTCTTAAAATTTCTCCTTCTGTATTATACCAGAAAAAAAATAATAAAACAGCATTTGAACCGTATCAAGAATTGTTCAGTGGTAGGTGGTCCTAGAGACTGAGTTTCTTGAGGATGGGGACCTTTTGATATTCTTAATGCCTCCAGTGACCAGTACAGTGCTTAGCCATCAAAGGAACTTGTTAAGAGTATTGTTATTTATTGAATGTCTATTAATAATGAAATCTCCATAACAACTTAGTGAAGGTATAGGTATCTCCACTTCGCAGATCCAAAGTTTATCATGTTGAGTGAATGAATAAAATGCTTACATAAAAAGCTGCTTTTTACTTTTTTTTTTTTAAATACTTTTTTGGCCGCACCTCATGTGGGATCTTAGTTCCCCGACCAGAGATCGATCCCGAGCCCCTTGCATTGGAAGCGCCAAGTCTTAACCAGTGGACTGCCGAGGAAGTCCAGAAGCTGCTTTTTTGCATCAACTAGTTACTAGCCTCATGAGTACACTTGAATACTTGCTTTACAGTTAACGACATACCTTTGTCAGTATGGGTGCCCTTGTCCTTACAGGTTTATTCTAGAAATCGTCGTTCAGATGACAGCACATGGTTAGAAATGTGAGAGCAAGCTGCTTGGGTAGTGCTATTTGTTGTTACACGTCTAAGATGTATTTATGTACTTTTCCCTTTAGTTAGTAAGTGTCTGTGTATATTTTGGACCTTAGCTCACAGTTTATCTTTGCCATAAATAAAATACTTAATGTTTATTCTTATAATCACAGACTCCCATGGCATGGAAATAGTATGGTTATTACCACATTCATCATAGCTCAGCAGCTTGGAGGAGATAGCTATAATTTTCTTTTTATAGTTTAGGCATGGGCCAAATGGAAAAACATGGACTAATTGTTTTGTATATAACTATAACCCAGAATCAATTTGAAGGGTACAAGCACTGAATCATTTAAATGCACAAAAGCCTATTCTACTTTTAAATGCATTTAGCTTTCAAATCTAACATTACTGTAAGAAAATGGGCTATTTTATACTTTTTGTACTGTCTTCTCAAAGCCTACTATTGAAAATGAAGAAATAATTGTCTTATTTATTAATTATGTCTGAGTGCTTTTTGAAAGCACTGTTAAAGAGTAGAAAGAGTCATTTCTATAAGGGCAGGAAGATGACAAAGGAGCCACAGCTGTAATTTTCTTGTGAATGTTTTTATGAGTTTCTTACTAATTTTTGTAATGCACAGTGTGCTTTTAGGTATTTACAAATATAAAAAGAATTTTCTAAAAGACTTTTGTAAGGGGACGACAAATTAGACTTATAGTGTGATTTGTCTAAATGGCAGACTGACTTGCCCCTAGTATAAGTTGTTTTAAATTAATAAGGGGAAATTCCTTCTACTGACAGTTACGGCAGGTCTGTCATTTTGATTAATATATCTGTTAGTTGAATTTCATGACCTGAAGTTAAGAGTTTAAAAAAATGCCCTCTAATTCTTTGGAAATTTTTTAGCCTGTTCCAGTTATGTTACAAGAACTTTAATTCAGTGGACAAATACTGAGCCTCTGCTCTGCCACGTCTGTGTGTAGTAAAATGCTGAGGACATAGTTACAATCAGTCCTCTGCACCAGGCATTGAAGGTGCAGTTTTAAGAGCCTCAGTAAAGCAGGGCCTGTGAAGCCTAGCATCATATCCTCTCCAGGTGCTAGCCAGTAGGTATTTGCTTCCCCCCACCCCCACCTCTTCTTAGTGCCTCCTGTTACCACGTTGGCTATAAATACTCTAGACTGAGATCTTTTATGTGACTCCATAATGGGCACCTGAAATGGTCCTTGGTGCTATTTTTAGTTATCCTATTGGTGTCACAGCAGAAAATGTGACTGTCTTTTATACAGGCTGAGTTCTGAGAAATTATAGACATTTGTATCATTGAGGAAAGCTAGGAACCAAGACATTCTGAAGGAAACCCCCCAGAAAGGAATGAGTGCAGCACCTTTTGACTGGTCTGGTCCCACTGCAGAGGTGAGCACAGGGACTGGTGATTAAAAGCAAAGCAGCCCCTTTCTCATTTCATTTTCTGCATCTTAAAGCACTGCATCTTCATTAACTCCTCAGTCCTCAGCAGGGGAATACAGCCAGGACTTCTTGGAGACAAAAGGGATACATAAAATAATCAAGATGTTGTGTCCCCATATCACATGTATCGTCATGTGACGTATTATCAATGAGTCTATGAAGGAAACTAACAGTACCTGTTACCTGCCCCTCCCTCAGTCTTGAAACAATTCCAAGACATCGCTGACAGAATAACTCTGACTATGGCCAAGAGCTTTTCTCACCCATGCCAACTAAAAGAAAAATCTCTTAGCTACATTGCCACAGGCTCCCCTGACGTACACTAACACATATCAATAAGCAGGCTGGTTGTAAAACCTAACTGGAAAGTCCTGTAAGTTATAATAAGTGTAGATTAAAATAAGCAGCATATGTGGAAACAAGTTCAAAATCATACATTCTTCTCAGAAGTAATTCCCCACTGTAAAGTTAGAGCAAATCTACATGAAAATAAGCACACATTTATTTTCAAAAGTAACTTCCTAATGTGAGTTAGTGTGTGGCTCTGAGGCCTAACACACCCTCATTTCTTTAGGTGCACAAAATGCACTTTTCCAAGAAGGGAGCTCATCCTTCTTATTCTAAGTCCCAATGTAGATTTCATGATTGATCACCTAAAGTTTCAAATCCCACATTTGATTGCTAAACTGTGGGTTTTGAGCACAATGTATTCCTTTAGTTACTCAGAGGGGAATTCTGAGCCTGTGAGGTGAGTGGCAAGTCATAACCTACCTTGTGGGGCTGCTTAGAGGATTGGTGGTAATTTTATATTAAAATTAAAAAAAATTAAAAATAGAACAAGGCCCAGCAAGTACAATAGGTACGTCAGAGCTACAAGTATCCGCTGCTTTTCAAAAGTTTGCTTCATGCTAATTCACTTTTAGGAAAGACCTACAGGAGTACCTGTTTTTGCTGCACGAAAGAAATCCAGAAAGGATTTTTGCTTTTATGAAAAAAGGAGAAAAGCAAAAATAGCATTCAGAGCCATTATAGAGGCAGTATGAACCCTGAGCAGTGAAAGTGACACCACCAAGCTCCTTCCCCAAGAACTATACTCAGCATCTTGGCATCAAGCTGTCATAGCTTTGAACTGTGTCTGTGAGCATCTGTGCTTTTATCTCGATTTATTTCATGCATCCGTAAGCAAGATGTGCCCTCAGGTAATTGCTTCTTCGCTTTATACCATTTCAGCTTACAAAAGGCTTCATAGGAATGCTCTACTTTCTACTTTCAGATAGTGGGGGAAACCTGTACTGTATTTATTATCACTCTCCTGGCTACTTCTCCTTTCCACTCTTTTCCCAAGGGCAACTGACTTATGTGGTCCTTAAAGCACTTTCTACCTTCAATAAGGATGGACAGGAATTTGTCAAGCACAGAGCCTTTATTTTTCATATCATTTCCAAAAAGGACATCGTTTAAGTCAGCAGAATTTCTGAGAGAGAAAGTGACAGCAAAGGCAACTGGCTCAAGTCCCTCTGTGTACACCATGTACATTTCATGTCTGAGCACCTTGTGTGTCTGGCTTAAGTAAAGGTAAGGCAGTGTAGATTGTGCGAACAAGAAATCTGTTCTGTGATCAGGAATGGCTACTACATGCATCACGCAAAATGCACAACCTGAAACATTTCAATCTGCAACTGAAGTTTCCTCAAGCAAAGATGCGCGTGAACAATGACAGAACACATACAGAGCAACTTGGGCAGAGAGAATGGATAATGCCTTGGGGCAGTGAGGTTAGCGCACTGATCAAGAGCCCCAAGCAGGAGGAGCCGTCCCAGTGGCAGAGCAGGCTAGGAGGGTGAGCAGCAGCCATCTCCAGCCACCTTCAGTTCCTTCCTGCCTTCACTCTAAGTTGAGCAGCTCCACGTCAAAGATGAGGGTGGCATTGGGAGGGATGACACCGGGGTGGCCCGTGGCTCCATACGCCACATCAGGGGTGCAGGTCAGCTTCGCCCTCTGCCCCAAGCTCATCTAGCAGGGATGGGGGCAGATGGGGAGAGGAGAAAGAGGACCCAGCTTGATTTAAAAGAAAAAGGTAAGATAACTATGGCATTTTCCCAAACCATCCTCATGGTAACTCTGAAGATCTGAGATGAGTTTTATACGTGGCACATTGAAGTGATGCTAAGAGTTGTAACAAATGCAGATTGTGCCTCAGACTAACAGAGACTTGACTGTGGGAAAAGTAGTCTCAAATTCATTCATCCAACAACACTGCTGGTTATTCAATTAGTGTATGGCCCAACACTTCTATTTGTTCATAATTTTTCCTTCTTCCAGAGAAGCCTAAAGAGGTGTATAAAGAGCACATGTACATGTACATGCTCAAGTAGGTGATAGAAGCAGTTCATTAGAGAGATTTAGAGATTAGAGGCCACAGCAAGGAGCATCACATGACTTCACAGAGCAAAGAAGAAGAGTTTGAACCAGGGCTCATCACAGCAGTCCTCAAGAACTTGTCTGGCATTAGTGGGATAACTGGTGAAATTTGAATAATCGATTTTTAAATTTTGAATAACCAACTCAAAAATTTGAATAGATTGGTTAATAGTATTGTATCAATGTTAATGTCCTGGTTTTCATCACTGTACTATGGTTATGTAAAACATTAACATTTGGGGAAGCTGGGTAAAGAGTATATGGGAACTCTACCTGCAATGTTTTTGCAAGTCTGAAATTGGGTTTTTTTTTTTAAGTTTAAAAAAAAAATCACCTTGGCCTCCCCCACCCCAACTCTTCTGCTGCCTCGGTCCCAAACAGCTGGTAGCTCACAGGCTTGCTCAGAACTAGCTGGGGAGATGTGCTTGGGATGAGAGCCCCCAGTGACAGAAAGGAGTCATGCTGGCAACTAAAAGGGTGGGGACACAAAGCCACGACTGAAACTAGGTGGCATCACCATGCCTGACAGTGGAGTCAAAGCAGTAGTGGTCTGTGATAGGGTG